GAACACGTGCCATTCGAACCTGCGCGCGTGGGAGCGGGTGGCGCCATCACGGGGCGTTCATCGTTTATCGGACGGTTAATTAATTACGAATAGGAATCTGGGTTTGCGAACAAATCGGTGTGGATATTGAAATGAACGAGGGAAGAACTTTTAAATATCCTATTATTATTATTTTTTTAATTTCATTTTCTTTTGACCAAGAACTTTAAATACACTAGCTCTCTTTTTCAACCAAATTTTTAAAGTACTGACGAGGAGGAGGAAGATACGATTCATGCTGCGGTGTACATACTTGAAGAATTATTATAGGGTCAATTACGAAGATATAATGTGATGAGAGGTACAAGTATATGATATATATGGCAGATATATTGAAGAACTTAATTACATTTATATAACCTTTATAATTAACATGCATGGATTTATCTAAATATATTATATTTATTGGCGGGAGAAATTCGTTTCACAAAATATCCCTGTTTTTAGGACCAGCTGAGGCATTTAGATTTTGTTTTTCGTATAAAAATGATAACTATTTTTCTAAATTTTTAACTAGTATAAGCTAAATATATTTTTTTTCGATTTTTTTTTCTCTGAATTTATTTTCAAGAATCTCATGTGGCATTTGTTTAAGCTTGAAACAGGCAACCCAAAAAAAACATTTTAATAAGCATAATAATGGTTCTTAATTTACTGAGCTATAGCTTTCCTTACAAATACAGTATCACTGTCTAATAAAATAAGTTATCCAAAAAATAATTCTATTTATTTTATTTCTTTTGACAAAGAGTATTATCTTTCTTTTTCAACCAACTTGTTTAACGCTAAAACGAGGAGGAACATAAGATTCATGTTGTTGCGTTACTTCCTTAAGCTACGTTACACCAAAGTATGATGTGATACAGATAATTATTGGACACAACATGGGGGGGAAACATAATAATTAATTAATTTGTGAGTGTATACACTTAAAATTTAGGCAGAGAATAGCGCAGAAAGGATTGATCACCTCAAACCCAAGATTAATCCTACAATTAGTAGATAAATATTAAATCCAGCATGTAGGGTTCTTTTTAGGGGTGTCCAAGGCCGCGGCCCGGAAACCCGGCCCGGGCCCGGCCCGGAAACCCGGGCCAAGTCCGAGTTCTAGCCCGTGTGTGTGTATACTCTCTCTCTTAGTATATAAGTATAGTATATTACAACGGTTACTTCCCCATTGGCCCAACGAGCAACGGCTACAGGGTTACTTATGCGATTCTCTCTCTCTCTTAAATTATAACTTATAAATATATACAATATATTTACATATAATATATGTATATATAATATATAGTTACATAATAATTTAGAAGTATATACTAATACATAATTATATAAAATATAATAATATTAAACTAATTTTTAGCATTTTTTTATTAAAAAAAAAAGAAAAGAAATTTTTTTAAAAAAAACTAGTTGGGATGTACTTATCTATTGTGATGCGATGAATTCCAAAATAAATTTATACTTGTAATTTGTAAATAATTTATTAATTATTAATAAAAAAATTATTTTTATAATTTTTTATTTGTAATTTATGTTGATTAATAAAATTATTATTTTTTATTAATTTTTTTGTTTTTTTTTATAATTTATTAATAAAATAATGGACAGGCCTAGTTCTTTTGCACCTCAAAGTTATCGTTTTTGCAAATTAACCCTCAAAAAAATTCGATATTTCCTAATTATGAGAGGATTGGTGATGGTCTATGAACTGGCCTCCATTTCAGCCTGTAAAAAAAAAGAACTAGCTTGACAATTTTGGTCTTTGATAGAATCTGTAAAATATAATTAATTGGCTTGTCTCGTAGTACATAGATTTGTTTGGAATTTGTGAATGGCTAGGCTTAGTAGATTTGTGCTACCCAAATACTGGTCTCCTACGTTTGTTAGATCGTGGCTTTGTCATGACAACTTTCCTAAGCATCAACGGACTAATTAATATTAATAAAGTATAGGTCCAACTGCTCCTGCACGCTTCACCTAAAATAATTTGCTTCGCATCTTTGGGATATCCTTCTCCTTATAATTAAATTGCATCGCTCTCATGCATATATATTTCTTCAATATTTCAGAGAACACAATGAGACTTTCGCTCCCTTCTTTTAGCTCCGTCGCGTTTATCACAGGAATCATCTTCGCCTTTCTTCTTCAAGAGTCTGTGTCCTACGAACGCCCGAAGGCGAGAGAGACCCTCGCTATTCCTCTTGCTGACGATGCTGACGAGCTCACTCCTCAACAGGTAAGCCACATTTCTCTCCGTTCTTCTCTCTGTCAATTTTATCTTTTTAATCCTAGAGAACGGACTGTACGTGTTTCTGATTCTGATTAATTACTCTCCTGCTTGTCAACGCCGATCGATTCAACTCCTGCATTTGTTCTATATTCCTCCGATATAAGAGTTAGAATCGTCTTAAGCAATCTAGTACTGGCCCAAATTCGCTAGATAATGGGTGAACTAACGACTGTCTATTCTTAGGTCAATGCAAAAAATTAATTAAGGGAATTTCAAAGTGAATTAGTACTGTACTGATTAAGGTTTTTCAACGCTTTGGTGGGCTAACAACCCAACTGACAAACTTTTTAAAAGTCAGTTGCAGCGGTGTTACAGATGTAGCAGGCAGTTGAGCAACCACCATGGGTAGTTGCTGGTGAGAATTTTACGAAAAAATTCGCAGAATCAAGAAAATCTCACATTTCCTTATGGTTAACGTTACAGGTGCATATATCCCTAGCGGGGAGAGACGAAATGAGAGTGACATGGATCACGGACGACGATGCTCCGTCAACCGTAGAATACGGAACCGTCTCCGGTGAATACCCCTTCTCTGCTTCTGGCTCTGCCTCCTCCTACTCGTACGTCATGTACAATTCAGGACAGATTCATGATGTAGTTATTGGCCCTTTGCAACCCGATACAGTTTACTACTACCGTTGCGGCTCCAATCCGGCTCGCGAGTTCTCCTTCAAGACACCTCCTCCCGTACTTCCCATCAAATTTGCCATCGTTGGTAATCTACTCTCAAAATTCAGAGCGTGACGCCAATTTTACTCATCGTTTATTAACATAGGAACCTAATACTATATGCTGCAGCTACTTAACTTCTATGTTCTGTTTAATTCGCACGTACATACATGCATACATACATACGTACATGTCATAATAGCCTGCTGTTCTGAACAGGCGACTTAGGCCAGACAGATTGGACAAACTCGACCCTCACACACATGACCGACTCAAACTACGACATCTTGCTGCTCCCTGGCGACCTCTCCTACGCCGACACAAACCAGCCGCGGTGGGACTCCTTCGGTCGCCTGATCGAGCCTCTCTCCAGCACCCGGCCTTGGATGGTCACACAAGGCAACCATGAGATCGAGAAAATACCAATTGTCGAAACAAAACCATTCAAAGCGTACAACGCTAGATGGAGAATGCCTTACGATTTAAGCGGGTCAAGATCAAACCTTTACTACTCCTTTGATGTCGCAAATGGCTCGGTTCATGTGATCATGTTGGGCTCGTACGCTGATTTTGATTCGAGTTCAGGTCAGTATAAGTGGTTGGTGGAGGATTTGGGTAAGGTTGACCGGAGGAGGATGTGGACGGTGGTACTGATACACGCGCCGTGGTATAACAGTAACACCGCACATCAAGGTGAAGGCGAGGACATGAGGGCGTCCCTGGAGGAAATTTTATACGGCGGTCGCGTCGATGTCGTCTTTGCTGGTCATGTGCATGCCTATGAACGATTTGTAAGTACGAAACTCTCGACTTACGAGGTCTTTTGGTGTGCTGTAACTGTAATTGCGATGCGAATGTTCGATGCATGTGGTTGCAGTTTTGCACGGAATTGCTTCTTCAGATTCAAATTTTTAGTAACATGCACCATCCATATAGTTGCAGTTGCAGATATTTGTCTTGAACTGTCGGGACTTCTCGCTTCTGTTGGAGATTGGTTGCAAATTGCAATATAAATTGCACTATATGCACCTCAAAAAGGTTGCAAGTATGATATACACAAGTAGACAAGAATCTGTGTAGACCTTTAGTCACAATAGAGGGTTTTTTCTATGCAAATGTGATTGCAAATTAAACTATATCTGTAAGTTAATGAAGAAATGCAACTACTCAAAACGTACTAGTCGCATGCAACTACAAGTGTAGCTTCCAGTAGCTAAACTAATGAAGTGATTAGTACTGACATTTCCCTTTTCTTTTTTTTTCTTTTTTTTTTAAATGGCAGACGAGGGTGTTCAACAATGATGAGGATGATTGTGGACCGGTGCATATAACCATTGGAGATGGAGGCAACAAGGAAGGACTCGCATCGGATTACATAGATCCGCAGCCTAAGATTTCAAAGTTTAGAGAGGCGAGCTTCGGACACGGAGAACTCGATATCGTGAACCATAGTCATGCACGGTGGACATGGCACCGGAACGATAACGATGAACCTGTCATCGCCGACCAGGCTTGGCTCACCAGCCTCTCTTTAAACAAAGCATGTAACAAGAAGAAATGATGCCTCAATTTCGGCCTTTGCCCCTGTAGTTCGGTTGGTACTGATCATCCTAATTTTTGGCAAAGGCGACTTTTCGAAAATCTTATATACATTTCCATTGAAGTATGGATTAATTGATGCAAGCAAACCATGAGGTTTTCTCACTCAAAGCTGCAAGATGAACATGTTCTCTTTATTCAATTCATTGAGGGGATGAAAATTGAAGTGTTTGAGACAATTAATTGTTCCCCTAGTCAATCTATGGTGCGTTTGAAATGTTTGTTGTACGAGTTGTTCTATTTTTGGCTGTGTATATAATCTCCTGCCATTATTTATCGAACTGTTCCGATGACAAAAATATGATCATATCAACAGTATTTGGATGCGTTTTTTTGCCCAGCAACTCAAGCCCGTGGCCTTACAGTGGCTTTCGGCCTTCGGGCCTGAACCTGCTCCGTACCCATCCAAGCGGTAAACCCAGCGACTACATCTTTTTCCCTTGCACATATATATATGATTATTGAACGGCTAAATAGCACTTATATACCCTGTTGTTCCATCTAGTTTTCACTTATATACCCTCACTTGTATTTGTATTTGGTAGCAAATACCCTACAGTTTTTCAAACTTGCACTTGTATGCCCTCAGTTGGTTTTGACAGCACTCGTATACCCTAAAGTTATTTAAACTCGCACTTAAATACCCTAAAGTTTTTAAATTTGACACTTAAATACCCTAAAATTCTTAAAACTTACACTTAAATAACCTCAAGTTTGCGTAACCGAGGATATTTACGCGCAAGTTTTAAAAACTTTAGGGTATTTAAGCACTAGCGGTAAAAACTTTAGGGGTATTTAATTGCTGCTAAAAAAATGAGGGTATACAAGTGCAAGTTCAAAAACATCAGGGTATATTTTTTTTTGCTACCAAAAACACAAGATGGGGGTATACAATTGAAATGTAGTTGAAACAATAGGATATATAAGCAAGCGCTATTTAGTGAGCTCAAAGGTTGAGGTACAAAGATGAGATCATGTTTCACATGGCTTGGCAATTCTGTGCACCGAACATTATTTATTTGTGAAGCCATTCCCTTCATACGAGTTTTGAAAAAGTTGTCTGTAAAAGGTATTAGTACTTGAGCTTTTTCCATAAAATCATAGCATATGAAGAGAAAAAGGCTAGAGAGAAAAGTAATGGAGGTCCTTTTTCTTTGTGGCTTTTTCCATAAAATCATAGCATATGAAGTAGAAAGTGATGGAACAATAAGAGAGCAAGCATTGTTTTCTAGCCTATACTCTCTGCTTGAATTTTGCCTGTGAAAGTTCCTGAAGAAATATGTTTATGTCTACGGTACCACCTCATATATTTCATAAGTACTGATTATTTTCCACTCGTTGGGTACAGTCATATCATTATTTCTGTACGTGTAAAATACCTGTAATATTTTTAGAAGATTTACGTCGTGTTACAATAAAATCTCATTGTTATTAAGTTCGTTCTTATTTTTTACACGTGTCTAAGAAATGAACTTGATAACCCCTGCAAGTCTCTGTGCATGCAATCCTCTCTTTAGCTACTTTTTCCTTTCTTCCTCATTATATTCTGCTTTCAAAGGCTTCCACGTACTAATGAATTTTTACCGAAACAGCAAACTCCCAACAACAACTCAAAAGTTTTCTTGCATGCAAAATGGAATATTGAGGGGGGAGATCCTCTCTTGTGCTTTCAACTTTCCCCCTCTCAGCCTCTCTCTACCCTTTGCTAAACCAAGAGATCCTCACACCTAAAAAAGTTTGTTTTATACTTCCTTTTAGAATTTGGAAGCCCAGTCATATGTTGAGGGGGGGAAAAAATAAGTTCAAGTGGCTTTGTTGATGATTACGTACATGCAATCAAGTGCCTCGCTTGAGTACTGCTCATCATTGTTATTGCTATTAATTATTATACATGCTTTTTGGAGCCATGCAACATCTATATATGGAGCTCTCCATGTAGCGCTAAGACAGAGCCATTGAAACCCTAAAACACTCCATGGTGCAGTAACACTAGGTCATCAACACAAGCGACCATTCAATATGTGAGGAAAAGAAAACATTATATATTTTCAAGCAAGCAGAGGGGGAAATAGAAAAAGAAAGAGTTATTTCGTAGGGTTTTGCCATCATTTATTACAGACAACCAAACTAGTAATGTTATAATTGTTGTCCACAAACACCACGTTCATACCTCACCCTTAATGAATAAACCAATTTCTTTATTTCGTGTTCATCTCTATCTATAATAGTGAACACAATTAATTATCTTTTCCTTTGCTGCTTTTTTTGGCTGTTTTCGATTTGCTCTGTATCTCTAATACAATACCTTAAGAAATTGAGAAGGAAAAAAAAAAAGGAAAAATTCCCAAGGACCCAAAATATGGGACCAACTGGAGGGGGACATGCCCCCTCCTATTGAATAATAATGTGACTATCATTAATTATGGTCAGCTCATTATGCAATAGGAAGGGGCATAATGTCCCCCTCCTGTTGGTCCCATATTTTGGGCCCCTGTAGCAAAGCTAAAAAAACGCTGAAAGAAAAAGTGTTGCATCTCCTCCCTCAAAAATTAGTGTTCAAGCTCAATCCTCTGACCATTGGTTAATCGCTAAACATGATTTACAATTAATAGTTAACACTTCTATTATTTTCTACTAGGCATTATAGTTTGATTTTAAACATTGAAACCATGAACTCAACCAAAGCCGTGGAATTAGAAAAAGTATGGGAGTAAGTAATAATCAAATCACTTCCTCTTCCCCCTTCCTAAGGAACCAGAGGCCAGAAAAAGCCAAAGCATACCTCAAAGTACCAACGAGCCCCACAGGGGCACAGCCTGAAATTGCTCTCCTGTCCATTGGAATCACCCTAACCCACATGGGCAAAATGGTCATTTGGCGTATACGGGATCACGCTAAACAACCATCGCACACCTGGCGCAAAAATGGAAAGGGACCAGAGAAAAATGATGGGGAAAAAAATTCCAAATCCTAATCCGAATCTAACTTACACGAAGAGAGAATCCAATGGAAACAGATACATTAACGAGACACATTGTACATGAAAAGCCTCTGCGAAACGGTAACAAGATCCAACGAGGCCCACGAGGGGGCCCAAAGTGACAAGTTTCGCCTCAGAAACATTTAGATGCGAGGGGCAAATCTGTCATGTGTCTACTAATCATTCTTAATGCGTGCAGCTTCGTCATAACGAGAAGAACTTCCGGGAGAGGGACCCCCAATTTTAGAAAAATTCCTCAGGGACTCTAAATCATGGGATACAAGAGGGGACGGGTGAGATGTCAACCCCTAGGTGCATGATCTACTGTTCATAATCAGTAGATCATGCACCCAGGGGTTGACACCTCATCCGTCCCCCCTTAGGTCCCATGATTTGAGGTCTCTGTAGAACAACTCCCAATTTTAAGAGGGGCAACATTGCTAAATCTCATGAAACAACTTTAGCCAATGGGGAAATAATTTATTCTTCATCTCCTTAAAAAATGCATGCCCGATTGAATTTGCAGGCTGAGGATGAATGAATTTGGTTCACAAATAGACTTCGCAGGTACTTAAATTAGAAAAAAGATATAGAATCTAAATAGGTATGATATAATTCTTTTTCCATTTCTTTGGACTAATAAGTTAGATAGCATGAAGAAATTTCTATGCAGGTAGTAACTTTATTGAATTTTCCTATTAATATTTGGTAGTAGTAATATTAACATAAAAATGCTATCAATAAATGACAGGATTGCAATGGTCAAGAGAATAATAGCAAATAATATTTTGATTTATAAGAAGAGCAACATTAATGAATTAGTAAGTGTTGATATTAAGTGATCACACAATCAATAATATCCGCGGTTGGATAGGGGTGAGGTTGATGAGTGACCGCTTCCTTCCCTGAATATCCGGTTCTGAGTTTGGTTGATGAAAAGCCTACACATGTAGAAACACATGAGAGGATGGGGATTGGTTCCCCCGTGGTTCCTCCGACGATCAAGTCAGCTAGTGAACTTGAGTGGAAAAAATAAAGAATTATAGGAGTTCTTGTGTTTGCAATATAATTTGCAGATTATTCTGAGAGGATTAGATCTTCAGATCACATAGTCAGTGTTATGGTGTTTCCATTCGCTAAAAGTGCAACTCAGTGCCAAGCAGCGGACAAGTATACTCCTACATGCTATATCCCAATCAACTTGGCGGCCAGAGACCAATGGGGATGACCTTTCCCCCGACTCGACGACTCGACGTTCCTTCATGTCAACTCGAAAGGTGAAACTTGTCGTCTCCCTTTTGTCGAAGACAACTCGCCACGAGTCCACTCGACCACTCGCCAGACGCCTTGCGAAGCTGACTCGAAAGACGTTACTTCCCGACGAAGGTAAATGACATCTTCCGCTTCGAGCTTATCCTCGCTGACAAACGTGTCAATATCGCATTTAATGCTTATCAGACACATCAATGCCCCTAGCCCCGATAACATTCATGACTCATCGGACCACGTGGGCACCACCACGCCACTAATCACTTCTCATTTAATGTTGAAGTGATCAATCCCCCACTCGCTAGCCGACACCTGTAAAGCAGGTGCTAACGCAGCCGCTAAACCACACTTTACCACTGTCATCATATGCTCTGTCGAAGTGACCAGTCTACCCTTACATCCTAGATATATATACATGTACTATTTTACCTTAGAAAAGGCCTGTATTTTTGAATTTTAATCGGGGGCTGGAATCTCGATTTTCAAATCTAATCCTTAAGCAATCACGTGCACAAGAACTCTAAGTTCTTATTCACCCCACTCAAGTTCATCAACTAACTTAATCGTCAGATGTACAACGAGGGAACCCAACCCCATCCTCTTACGAACTTCTACTTGTGCAGATTCATCTACCATGTTCAAAGAACCAGACATAAAGTCGGAGAAGAAAGCGACTCATTCACCAATCCTCAACAATTCATCCAAACATGAATCTAATTGACTGTGTGATCACTAGTACATCAACAGTCAGAAATCAGAGATCAAGATCCAGATCAGAGTAGATTCCCTCCCCTGAATGAAGGAATAGTACCTCTTATTTATAGTGGTGTCGGAAGGACAGAACCATCATTGTGGCCGAGTACATAATGGAGGTGAAAAAATATGGGCTGACGGCTGAGTTAGCTCTTACTTTACAGGTGTTGGCTAGCAACTGGAGGAGAGATCATCTCGGTATTAAATAGGAAGTGATCGAGGCATGACGGTGCTGATGTGGTCTGATGAGTCATGAAGACCATCGGGGCTAGAGGTATGATGGCG